GCCGGTCCCCCTGCACCCGCGCTCCGGCCGCGCTGCAGGTTTTTTGGTTTTTTTTGCTTTGCCGTTCTGGCCGCCCCGGTTTTTTTTTTTGCTTGGGGCGGCCAAAAAGCCAGAGCCGGCCCTGGTTGGAGGGCAGGGCAGGGGGTGGAGAGGGGGAGGGGTTGGAGGGCAGGGCAGGGGCTGGAGAGAGGTAGGCTGGAAGCCCAGGAAGGGGTTGGGAAATGGGGTAGGGGGTCAGATTGGGGGCTGGGCAAGGGGTGTAGAGGGGGAGGGGTTGGAGGGCAGGGCAGGGGGCTAGCCCCTCTTGCTTGGTCCATGCTGATACCAGCTTTGCCCCCTTCATACTGGCCCTGTGCTTCCTGCAGGTGCCCAGCGCCCGCCCGCATGGAGCTGCGTGACTACCAGTGGGAGGTGATCCTGCCCGCCCTGGAGGGCGAGAACATCATCATCTGGCTGCCCACGGGGGCAGGGAAGACCCGGGCAGCGGCCTACGTGTGCAAGAGGCACCTGGAGACCCGGGAGCGGGCCAAGGTGGCCGTGCTGGTGAACAGGGTGAGACCGGAGTTGCACTGGTGGGGGGGGAATGGCTCATGCCGGGGTGGGGCTGATTCTCCCAGCCTGGCCTGCAAGGCGCTCCCCTCGGCCTGTCCCCGGCCAGACATGATGGGGACGCCGGACGTGCTGGGGCTGCAGCCGGAGAGGGACCAGCCAGAGTGAGGAACCGCCCCCACCCCAGGCCTTCAGGTCTTTGCACACAGACGTGCTACGGAGGAACTGTGGCCGAGTCCCACGTTCGCTGGGTGGTCGCCATGTGCCAGGCATGGCTGCGGGGGCAGCGGGCAGTCGGGCTAGTCACCCGCATCAGGCTGGCCTCACGGTCTCAAGGGGGCGGACTTGACGCCAGGTGGGGGAGCTGTGTTCATGCAGGGGGTGGGAAAGCAAGCGGGCAAAACATGCCCACCTCGCCTTCTGCCCAGGCCGCCGAGAGCTGGCTCAGTCCCAGCATGGCCAGCACCAGGCCTCGTGGCCGCCCATCCTCCCCCATGGCACCCCAGCACTGTGTGCTGTGCTCTCTGCATAGCTGGTCCACGTGAGAGGATAACAGCCTACTACTGCTGCTAGCTAATGGCATTACCCTGTTAGTTGTACTGAAGGTCCTGGGTTCAAAACCTGCCGATGACCCATGCTAAGGAGGGAGGGTCCCCAAACGCCTGCTCTACGCTGGAGCCCCCTAGACAGGCAGGGTGTGGCTGGCTCGGGCTGGGCAGGGGGCTGTGCTGCTTTGCCTCTGTTGTCCATGGGAGGTTGCTCAGCTCAGCAACCAGGGCTCTCCCCAGGCCCTGTTCTCCGCCCCACCCTTAGCTCGGGGGCGGTTCTCGGCGGATGTTGCTCAGCACACAAGCCTCACAGGGCGTCTCTTGCGTGTTGGGTGGCCAGGTGCACCTGGTGGACCAGCACTACACGCAGGAGTTCCAGGCGCTGCAGGATCGCTTCCGGGTCACGCCCATCAGCAGCGACAGCGACCAGAAATTCTTCTTCTCCAAGGAGGTGAAGCTGAGCGACGTGGTGATCTGCACGGCGAAGATCCTGCAGAACGCCCTGACCAGCCAGGACGAGGACATGCACGTGGAGCTGACCGGTAGGAGCCCGGCCAGATGGGAGCCGGCCCATGTGGGGCTTGGATCTCAGGGCCGGATCCCCAGCTCGTGTCAATCGGCTGTGCCCATGTCAGTTCCGATTGACGCCAGCTGAGGATCTGGCCTTTGGTTACTGCTGAGCGTGCACAAGCCAGCGAGAAAACCCAGCTTGACTCTCAGCTCCTGGGGGATGGAGATGGTGGGAGTGAGGGAAAAGGGCTGGTCCCTGGACAGAGCCCTGGGTGGCCGATTCATTCCCTGTTGATACAGTGGGGACAGGGAGGCTGCCTTGCCTTGGAGATCGAGAGGCAGAAGGGCTAGTGCCGGCGTTTTGTAAACTGCGCACATTTGAGCTGGAGTCCGTGGGAGGCAGAAAAGACAGTGTCATTCCCCCTGCCCCCGGCAGTTGCTGGTCACCTCGCAGAGCAGACCCCCGCTCTGTCCACCTGCCCACATGGTCCCCTCGAAATCCTCCCAAGGCACCCCGGGGAGTCTGTGGCAAAGCTGGGAACTGACCCCGGGCCCCCAGCTAGCACCCTAGTCACTTCCCCTCCTTCCGGGGCTTCTCCCCCCCCCCCCCTGTCAGCCTCGCTCCGGGGCCCTCAGCTTGGCTCAGCCTCATCTCCCTGGGCAGATTTCTCCCTGCTGGTGATTGACGAATGCCACCACACCCACAAAGACGGCGTCTACAACCAGATCATGGAGGATTACCTGGAGCGCAAGCTGACAGGCCAGCGGAAGCTGCCGCAGATCCTGGGCCTCACCGCCTCGCCCGGCACCGGGGGGGCCACCAGCGTCCAGGGGGCCAAGCAGCACATCCTGCAGGTGAGCGGAGCGTTCCTCACGCCCCCCCATCCCAGCTAAGCAGGGGACGTGGCTGGCTGCCACCCCAGTGGCCCAAGAACTGCTGAACCTCCCTGAGATTGCACCTGGCTTGTCTTCTGGCTGCTGGAAAAGGCCCTTGGAGCAGGAATTGGGGCTGCGCAAACTGTCTGCCAAGGGAGCCCATCTCCTCGGCTTCTGGTCGCCTGACACACCTGAGAGTCTGGCCACGGCAGCCACATGGGTCACGGAGCTGCATGTTGTTCCCCCTGGCGTCTGTCAGGAGACATCCCTAGGGTGTGTGTGTGGGGGGGGGGAGTGGCTGCTGGTGCCAGATGTGCCCATGCTGATAGTACCCCTGCCTGGGTACATCGGGGGTCCCCCCCCCATTGACTGGGACCTTCCCAGCTCAGTGCGTCCATGGCATGTGGCTCATCTGGCTCTCGGGGGGGGGGGGTGTTTAACCCTTTTAGATCTGCGCCAACCTGGACACCGCCAAAATCATGTCGTCTCAGAAGCACCGTGTCCACCTACAGGCTCAAGTCCCTCATCCCAGGAAGCAGTACGACGTGTCCCACGAGAGGCCGCAGGTAAAGGGCTCTCAGAGCCGCCAGGGGCTGCACATGGGCACAGACCCCAGGGGAGAAGAGAGAGACCCCACTGCAGGGGAGACCAGCGACAGCCCTTGAGGGTTTAAACCCCTCAGTCAGCTCTGCTTGGCTCAGGGCCTGGGAGGTGGGGAGGGGTGGCCGAGCCCATCCCATAATCAGCTGGGTCCCCTGTGCTCCCAGCCTGCGACCCGACCCGGCTTGCACCGTGCCCTCGGGGCATGCCACGGGCAGCAGCCTTCCCCTTGAGACTCTGAGCCCTCCCTGCCTCGCTCTGCTCCCCAGGATCCCTTGGGCCGGAAGCTGAAGGAGACCATGGCCCACATCCACCAGTACCTGGACGTTGGCGGCCTGCCGCGGGACTTCGGCACCCAGAGCTACGAGCAGCGCATTGTCGAGCTGGGGAAGGAAGGTGAGGGGCTGTGGGCCAGCGCAGGGGAGGGGTTAACGGGGGTTGGGAGAAATCTAGAGCTAATCAGGGGGAGGAAGGTTGAGCTTGTGGCTCAGGCATTGGATTGGATTCAATTCCCAGCTCCGCCTGGCCTTGGGCAAGTCAGTTCATTGCTCTGTGCCTCAGTTTCCCCACCTGTAAAATGGCGATAACGATCCTCCCTTTGTGTTGCCTCTTTCGACTGAGCGCTCTTGGGGGCAGGGCTGGTCTCTTATTACGTGTCCACGGGGTGCCCAGCACAATGGGATCCCTCCAGGCGTTACTGTATCTACACACAAATGGCCTAGATAAACCACCTGGGCTCCAGAATGGGCACCCAATGACAGTGCCTGCGAGAGGGCAGAATGCTGCCTGCAGCATGTCCCTTAGCTGTGGGACTTCCTGCTGCAGGGTGGGAGGGAAGCTAATAGCCCTGTAGGGTTTTTGTGTGGAATGGTGCCTGCAGTGACTCAAGCCATGAATCTGATCCCAAGGATTGTGCAGCCTCATGCGCCGAGGCGCAAAGCGATCCGGGGAAGGAATTACCCCGCCCCTCCCGTGGGATAGCCTGGGGCCTCTGATCCCGCGCCCTGGCTGCTGTGCGGGACTGAGCCAGGTTATACAGCGCAGTAACAACAGTCACCATTGTGGCATTTTCTGTTATTGCCTTTTCCTCCTCGCTGTGTAATGGGCCTTTGACACATGCTTTCTTCCCGGAGCCGGAATAGAACCCAGGAATCCGGGCTCCCAGCCTCCCCTGCTCTAACACTAGATACCCCCCTCCTGGAGCCAGAATAGAACCCAGGCGTCCTGGCTCCCAGCCCGCCCCCCTGCTCTAATACTAGATACCCCCCTCCTGGAGCCGGAATAGAACCCAGGAGTCCGGAGTCCGGTCCCCACACTGGCCCCGCTCTCAGTGACTGCCCAAGGCGCCGTGCTGGGGGATTGGCTTTCAGCGGTTGCTACAGTGGTTTTGTTCCAGGAGCCCAGTCGTTCTGCCGTAAGAAGCGCACGTGCGCCCTGCACCTGCGGAAGTACAACGACGCGCTGCTGATCAATGACACGGTGCGCATGATCGATGCCTTCAACGCCCTGGACGAGTTCTACCAGCTGGAAAAGGCCACCAAGGTTCTGCAGGACCCCACGGAGCGCTTCCTCGTCAGCACCTTCGAGGGTAAGGGCTGGAAGCAGGATACGGGGCGGGGGGGGAGCCCATAACAAAGCAAGGGGAGGGGTCAGCAAGGCCCAATGTGCTCATCTAGGCTGGCCTCCTGCATAGGGCAGGCCAGAGAACCCTGCCCAGGTACCTGCCCAGGCAGGCCAGTGGCAGACCCCATGTGTCCTGACTCCCAGGCCAGTGTCCCAACCACTAGCCCACGCTGCCCCTCGCAGTGCTGGGCTTATGGGACCTCTCTCCGGGAGGACTCGCTGCCAGACGTACATTACGTGTGAGGAGCCCCTTGAGAAACGTTAGGATGAATGTAACCCATGGGGAGGGGGCTGGCCCCCAGGAGCGGATAAGAGCCTACAGCTGCAGCTAATAGAGTCGCTCCTTTCACTTCAGCAGTAGAAGTCTGTGTTCTTAGCGCTGCAGGCCCTGGGTTTGAATCCTGGGCCAGGGTGCGTGTGCTGTAAAGTAGCCCTGGGGCTCGCTGGCTCAGAGCTGCCGCTCTCACCTGCCTGCACGCTCTGTTGCAGAGATCAAGGCAGCCCTGCTGGCTCTGGCCAGCGACCCGCGCTACGAGAACCCCAAGCTGAGCAAGCTGGAGGACATCCTCCAGGAGCAGTTCCGGACCCTGGACCGCTCCCGCGGCATCATCTTCACCAAGACGCGCCAGAGCGCCCACGCCCTGCACAAGTGGAGCCAGGAGAACGCGAAGCTGGCAAGGCTGGACATTAAGGCAGCTGTCCTGACTGGAGCCGGCTACAGCAACCAGACCAAGCACATGACCCAGGTGGGTGTGCGAGGGAGGGAGGGAGGGAGGGGGCAGACGGTGCTGAAGGCAGCTGTGCCCTGCACGGCTCTTCTCAGCCCAGGAGCTCCAGGTGCTTTGCACACACCCCCCCTCTTGAGAGCGGCCAGGGGAAAGAGCGAGAAACTGAGGCCCAAAGAAGGAAGTGCCGTGCTCCCCAGGCTGGTGACAGAGCTGGGAAGAGAACCCAGGCGTCCTGACCCCCAAGCTCTACCCCACTAGAACCCAGTCTCCTCTCGCAGCTGGGAGAAGAGAACCCTGGAATCTCCTCCCCTCCAAGAGTGGGGAAAAGAACCCAGGAGTCCTGACTCCCGCCCCCTCCTCTGTTCTAACCACTAGGCCCTCCCCCTGGAGCCTCTCCTGCCCCACCCCACCCCACCGGGTGAGCAGAAGGAAGCGTGGGGGACCTGTCCCCTCCCACTTGGGAGGGAAGGGACGAGTCAGTAGCTTTAATCCGTGTGATTCTCGCCCTGTCGTGGCCGGGGGGCCCTGGAGCTGTGTCGTGGGGAGTCCCCATGCAGAGCTGCAGCTTTGGGCTCTGTGTCCCAGGTTCCCTGTTGTCCTTTCGCCCTGCGGCTGGGTGATTGCAGAGGGGCCTGGGGGCCTGGGATCCCT